TATATATATATATATATATCGTTATACATGATCGTGTATATGTTTTTATATAATTAACGAAATATATAATAACTAAAGCTAGAGGGAACTGAATATTAATTGAAAACAAAATATTTTGTTTTTGTTAATTTAAATAATAAGATATATGTATGGATAGTGATAGAGTCGAGGATTTCTGCTGCTGCTGCTGTTGCTGCTGCTGCTGCTGCTGCTGCTGCTGCTTGGCCTTTTATTGTCTGTGGCGCTGCCTGTCACTCCCAGCTGCAGCTACTGCTGCAGCTGCTGCTGCAGTCATTGCAGTTGCTGCTGCACCTGTTGCTGCAGGTGTTGCAGCTGCTGCTGCAGCCGTTGCAACTGCTGTTGCAGCTGTTGCTGCAGCTGTTGCTGCAATCTGTTGCTGCAGCTGTTGCCGCAGCTCTTGCTGCAGCTCTTGCTGTAGCTGTTGCTGCAGCTGTTGCTGCAGCGGTTGCTGCTAGCCGTTGCTGCAGCTCTTGCTGCAGCTGTTGCTGCAAGCCGTTGCTGCAGCTCTTGCTGCAAGCTGTTGCTGCAGCTCTTGCTGCAGCTCTTGCTGCAGCTGTTGCTGCAATCTGTTGCTGCAGCTGTTGCTGCAGCGGTTGCTGCAGCAACAGCTACACGTTGACATGGGGGATGGAGACGGTGGCGTTTGTGTTTTCGGCGAGAAGGGTTTTGAGGCCTGAGCTGCACACCACCCCGCATCATCAGCAGAAGAACGAGAATAAACAAAACACAGAAAGCGGTTTAGGGTTTAGGGTTTAGGGTTTAGGGTTTAGGAGTGGGCAGTTAAGGGCCTGTTGATTTGTGTTTGTGTTTTGTTGGTGTGTATATGCATTTCTGTATCATTGCTGAATCTGTATATTTCTCTTTTTCCATCTCTTCTGTCTTTTTTTTTTCTGTGTTTATATTTATTTTTATACGGATCATTGGCTCACACAAGCAGCAATACAGCTTCTTCTGTTGGGCCTCCAGTTGCATGCCATCGAACTCTTGCAGCTTTATCAACAAGCAAAACAGAAATAAATTTTTCTCTTTCTTTCCTTTTCAATCGCATCGTTTCTTCTCTCCCCCACCGCCCACTATAACCTAAAAACGACCCAATCAATAAACTCCCACCAACGCGTCTGCGTATTAACGAGCAAAGGTCTTCGTATTCCTCAGCAAGCAGCCGCAGTGTATCTTCACGGGGGCCCTGGGGGCCCCCATATATGCCTTGGGGGCCCCCTAATATGCCTTGGGGGCCCCTCAAGGGCCCCTCTTGCAGACGAGCTGCAGCGCGCAGCCGCTGAGGAAAGGAGTGGAAAGGAGAGAGAGGACGGAATGCCGGTGTCAGTGACTGCATGCTGCGGACGGCTAACGATCGCAGCCAGAAGGGGGCGTGATCAATGCAAATATATTGCAGGCTGGCTAGCTGGGGGCCCAGCCCTTCTGTACGCCGACTGGAGCCCGAGAGCAGCTGCTGCAGCAACCCCGACTGCAGCGATCCTCCACCAGAAGCAGCAGCAGCAGCAGCAGCAGCAGCAGCAGGGGAGGCGAAAGCAGGGCCGTAAACAGAAGCTATGAAGGAACTATGATTCTCCAGACGCCGCAGCCACGCAGAAACGTCAGCTAGCTGGGAATGCTGACCCCCCACATCGAAGAGAAACAGCAGCGAGACGCGGCCATACAAACGCTCCATCAGCTGCACACAAGCAGCCCCCCCCCCAACCTACTGACCCTCATTCAGTTCCTAAAGCCCCAGAAAGCTCTAACTAAACACCTTCACAAAGCTGCATAGAAAAAAAAAAAGAAAAAAAAAAACAGAAAAAATGATGAAGACCCACCGATATCTTAGGCAGCATGGCTCCAGGGCTGGTTGTGCGAAGCACCCGCTCCCTCAGCCGCAAAGCTTGCGTCTGTCCCGATGGGAGTGAATCCTCCTGCAGTGCAAAGGGAGTAACGAAGAAAACTGCGGGGATTTTCGTCGCCTGGTTGGGGGGAATGAGGCGAGACGGGTAGTGGTGCGCTGCGGTCATTCCGTCAATATACCGTTTGTACACAACTGGAGAGGAATCTGTACCCCTAGGGGCCCCCTCAAGGGCCCCAAAGGAGTCATCTGCTATTGCTGCTGCACCCGAAAGAGGCTGCAAGATGGCGCGACGGAAGCGGCGCCACAAGGCGCGGGCGTCGTTAGGCTGCAGCTGTTGCTGCATCTCAGCCCATGATATGAAACTGCTGGGTTCAGACAGGCAGACCCCAGGTCGATCGTGCAACGAAGGGCTGCGGGAACAGCTGTCTGCTGACAGCTCCCGGCGGGCCCTTTCCAGTATGTCTGCTGGCCATTCAACTCGGGGGCCTTTTGTACACGCCGGAGCGGCAACAGCCCTTTCCTCAACAGGGGAATCGGCTGAGAACTCCTTGAGCTCCCTCTGCAGAGCTGAAGAAGAGGCATACTGATCCTGGTGAATGCAGCGCCGTTGATATGACGGGAAACTTGCAAAGCATACAGATCCCAGAGGCGCCGCTGGAGGTCTGCTGGGGCCTGCGTCGGGCCACTGTTTAACGGCTTTCCTCAAGGAGCCGTATAGGCTCCAAAAGGCCCCGCATTTGTCAACTCGTGAGCAGTTTAACATTCCCACTGATGCTGTAGGAGTAGCAGAACCCGGCAGAAGTACAGAAACGAGGCAGCCGGTGATGGCGGCTGATGTTCAAGTAAGGTTTCGCTGCATGTTGTTTCATTGAAAAAGGCACAATGGTGGGTAGAAGAAGTTAAAATATGAAGAAAAAGAAGAAATTCAACAATTTCGCCAAATTTCAAAACATTCCGTTTCCCCCACAGCCCCTGTGCAAGTCAATGATGCTCGAGTCGGCCGACCGCCGATGAAGACGGTTTCAGAGGTTTCAGAGAATTGTTGCTAATCAGAAACAGAAATTACTTAATGAAAATAAAAATATAATGATTTAAAATGTCATAGTTTAGACAAGTTTCCATTTACTTATCGTGTTCTTCCTGGATTCCCGGCCGGTGCAAGCTGTGCAACTCACAACGAGTGTGAGAATCTGCAAAAAAAAGGCGAACTTCCTCCTTCAACTACCCTTGTCCCAGGTTACCTCATTCATATCCCTATTTACCGCTGCTTTCAAGCCCCGACGCAACAGTCCTTCTCTCGAAGACAACTGAAATCTGCACAGAAATTGGCTCCTGCAACCAGTGACCGAAATTCAAGTTTTGGAGGCTGGTACAAGATCACCAGAAACTCGAAATACTGCCCGCCTCATCATCTTGCGCTTTAAAAGGAAACATGTGCGGCGGGAAGCGAATCTCTAATTCGCTTGAAAAAGGCAGCCACTAGCAGCTTGAGTCTCTAGTTTAACTCAACATGAAGGCTCCAAATGTTATCGCATATCGCTATCTGTTTCTTCGCCCACTCTAATAGAATGTTGTGACACATAGGAGTTCGAATAAAACTCCTCTGCTGAACTTGTGAAGGAGGCCTTTGTGGCTCTCTGTTTGCTATACTGCCCGCATCCTCCGTTCCTTCCTGCACTGCTGCTCTCTTTACGCTTGCTCATTTTGCATTGGAGCTATTGGTACCTCCTCAAAGGTCCATGCAGCACTAAAGAAGCATTTTAAGGTTTAAAAACTGCAACGCGAACTTCAGATCGAGCGTTAGATACAAAGTGACCTTGCGGAGTGAAGGACAAGGGCTACCGTGCATTACTATGCTTCTGGGTGGGTTGACCCCCACTATTATTATGAGATCTCAAGCAACCTTAATTTTCTTCAGATGTATAATGAAGAATGTCAACGCATACGTTTGCCCACAAGGCACATACGCTGTCCCAGGCCTGTGAGTTGGCTCAATGTCGGCGTGGTTTAGGCTCAGGTCTGGAGTTTGTAGGGTCTTCTGAGCAGGCGGCGCTTCTCGCCCCCTTCGACGCTTGCGTGTTTCCTATAGTGTGAACCGTCTTTTAGTGTGAACTTTTCCAGCGGTGACTGTCGGGCCAGAATTAGAGGCAAGCAGGTGCTGATTTCAAACATTTGGCTCAGTTGACAGAGGACAGCTGGTCTCGTTTCGCTATTGTTTCATGTCCCTTGCTTTGCTTTGCGCAGCTCGGCGCCCTAATCAAGTGGATCGTTTTGAATTCCTGTGGCATGTTGCACCGAACTAAAAGCGGAACCGCGAAACCTCCTTGCAGTTTGTGCAGGGGCGGACAGATCCTGCGAGATTACCCCTTCCATAGAACAGAGAAAGGCTAGCAAAGTGTCCCACTCAGTTAATTGGTTACGCGTATCTATATGGGCTTCGATGCATTCAAGCCTGCATCTCGCTTGAAGTTGTAGCTGGCCCGAATGAACGCTTGGCTTGGCAAAACATTCTTCCCGGGGAGCCATTTTCCGCTACCAGACAATTTCGTGCATAGCCCTTTCTAGTACTTGCACCAATAAACTGCTGCAGAGCAAATGTAAAGCCGCGGCACGCTTTCATTCTAGATTGATGTTTGGAAACACAGGGCCTGGCCATGCTACGACCGTTGCACTATTCAGCCGTTAAGTAGCTACCAAAGTCGTGGTTAGATGCAGCAACTGGTCTCTTTTTTTGAAACTTTGCTAGATTTTTATGGGGCATGCACTCGCGACACGATGGCCGCTCATTCACGTTACAAGGAGATACCCTTTGCCGCCACAGACGCGAAACTAAAAAGTTCAAGTTCTGGCATGCTGAGGCACGCTTACGTTTCGGGAGTCATGCAGAACTCCCAGTATGACCTGCGCGAGGCTCAGCCTCTTCTGTTGCCATTTTGGCAGCAAACAATTCTCCAGTATCGGGAGAATATCAGAGCTCTCTCCACTGCGCTTCCAGAACAGCATCAGTCTTAGGCTTCACACGTAATAGCGCTCTTCCTAGTGAAGCGAGACTACGGGCTAGAATATTACATGACCTATTTGACCAAATGGAGAGTGAAAAGAGAGTAATCATATATCTAATGCATCTCGTCCATGACGAACTCAGCGGCAAGGTATCTTCCCTTCATGGGAGCGCTTTCAACAACCATGGGAGCGTGCGCCATCTTAGTGGGAGCAGATTCGATGATAACAGGAGGAGGGGCCATCTTTGTGGGGGCAGACTCAATGATCACGGGAGGAGGGGCCATCTTGGTGGGAG